TTTTATTTATTATTTGTAATAGTCGCGTTTGTAGTGTTTGTATATATTTGAGTCTTCCAATGTATGCTCCACCCCATGCTATAATACCATAGGTTGTTATGCTATGGAAAAGTGCATAGTAAATCATACGTAGATTATCTGTGCTCATTATCCTAGATAATTTGTGGAAAATATAAGTTAGATATTTTAGTCTATTGTATAGCATGTTTGTATGCAGGTCCCATCTCATATGGCTATCGAAATGCACTCCAAGGTACTTAGTGTTATCAACTTTTCGAATGGGTGCACCCTTTATATTTATATGTAGATATGTTGAGTTGCTATTGCAGTTATTTCCAAAAGCCATATAAACTGTTTTGTCAATGTTTAGTGACAGTTTATTCAATGCTAGCCAAATGGATATTTTGTTTAAGTAGAAATTCATATTTCTTTCGACTTCATGCCATGTTTCGCCTTTCACGATAATTACCGTGTCATCAGCAAAAGCCGACACACTATCATTTGGTAGCAATTGTAACATATCATTTATAGAGATTATGAAAAATAAAGGTCCCAATATTGTACCTTGTGGTACGCCAATGTTGACTTGTTGATATTGACTATATTCACCATTGATTTTAACTCTTTGTTTCCTATTACTTAGATAGCTTTTGATAAGTTCATACGCACTTCCTCTAATTCCATATCTGTAAAGTTTTTTGAGTAGAATTTTGTGGTCCACAGTGTCAAAAGCTTTCGCTAGATCCAAGAAAGTTGCTACTATTGATTTACTTTTGTCTAGTTGATTGTATATTGAGTTAGTTAGGTAGTAAGGGCATTTTTGGTGCTAAGACCTTTTCTAAAACCAAATTGTTTATTAGAAAATAAATTATGTTTGTTGAAAAAACTTGTAATCCTGATTTGTATTAATTTTTCAAAAATTTTGGCAATATTTGATATTAAAGATATAGGTCTATAATTTGTTGGTAGATACTTCTCTTTAATTTTATGGATAGGAATAATTTCAGCACTTTTTAATTCATCAGGCCATATTTCTTTTTGTAAGCATAAATTAAAGATATAGGTCAACGGATCACTTATGTAATTTATTATCATCTTTAGTACCTGAGTGTTGATGCCGTTAGATCCTCCATTTTTGTTGCCCATTTTTCTTATTGTTTGTTGAACTTCTATTCTATTTGTTAAATGTAGAAAAATACTGTTGTTGTTCATAGATGGTAGAGTAATGTTACTATTTATTGGTTGTCTAATATTATCACATATCTGTTTGCCTACTGTACTGAAAAATGTATTCATTTGTTCTGCAATGTCGTTTGAGTTTGTAATTTTATTATTACCTATTAATAGATGATTTATGTTATTGTTTTTTATGGTTTTCTTCCCAATTTTGTTGTTGATTATTTTCCATAATTTTCGTGGATTGTGTTGATTTGTTTTGATTTGATTTTTTTCATATTTTTCTTTAGCTAGATCTATGGTCTTTTTTAAAGTTTCTATATAGTTTTTATATTTTTGTCTTTTTATTGTATTATTGGGATCTTTTTTCCAATTATTATAAAGTTTTTCTTTGTGTGCACATGATATCGTTATTGCTTTAGTTATCCAATTACTCCTTGGGTTCATTTTATTCTTATTGTGTTTATTGTTTTTAAATGATGCCGTAATACATGTTTGTATTTTTTCTATTAATTTGTTCGTAGCTAGGTTAGGGTCTTTTATTATTTGTATGTCAGCCCAAACAGTTCTTTTGGCTTTATTTTTTAGTTTAAAATAGTTTATTATTTTGAAATGGGTTTTTTGTGTACATTTATAATTATTCCTTAGACTCATCATTATTGGGTAGTGATCATTGAAGGGTATGTTGAGGACGTAAGTTTTATATTTGACTTTTTCTAGCCTAACAAAAAAATTATCTATACATGTACCTTTGTTAATATCAATATTGGATGGTCTTGTTATGGTATGTAGACCTGGGCAATATCCATTTTCTAGCAGTACTTGTAGAAAATCTTGATCTAGTATTTCTCCTCTCAATATATCAAAATTCAAGTCTCCCATTAAAATATTGTTTTTATATTTTTTGTTTATTTTCAATAATTCTTTGAGATTCAAAAGGAATTCAGATTTAGATAAATCATGGGATCTGTAAATTGCAGACAGCATCAAATTTTTGTTGTTTTCTAGTGTAATATTAGAGTTAATTATTTTTAATTTATCTATTTCAAGAATTTCTGTAATTTCGATGATTTCTTCTTTCATGTACAAAACAACTCCATCTGATTTGTTTATTTTACTTTCATTATAATATATTTTATAGTCTGGAATATTGAACATTTCATGATTTTCTAAATACCATGTTTCTGTGCATACTATTATACATGGTTTTTTATCGAGGTTCTTCAGAAATACTAGCAATTTATTGTAATTTTTTTTTAGGCTTCTGATGTTTATACATATAGAATGATATTATTTTCTTTACATATATATTTATTTAGATCATCAATATTATCTGTTTTATGTTCATTTTCAAATATAATATCATATAAATTGTTATCCATATTGTAATATTGCAGAAAACTATTTAGTACTCCTGGTTTTATTACCTGTTGGACTTGGTGTAGATAACGATGATAACGATAAACTGTTATTTATTCTTGGACGGTTGTATATCTTGCGTGTGTTTGTTTCAAAGTTTATTCTACCAAAATATCTTTGATGAGTTGGTTGAATTGGATAATCTGTCATTTCAATATACCTTTTTATTTTCATTTTTAAAACTTCACACATTTCGCTGTCGATTGCACTATGGTTTACGTTGTAGTTTTTCCTATATGTTTCATTGTGGAAAATGCAGTTTGGACATTGGAGTATGCTGCTACTACACATTTTTGCTTGGTGCTTGCCTGCACATTTATAACACGTTGGCTCTTTTTTTGCTTTTTCACACTTTCCGCCGCCGTGGCCAAAACCTGAGCAGTTGTAACACGGATATGTATTGATGACGTCGAAGACTCTGCAGTTTTGACAACCAATAAATAATTTATTACTATTGTTTTTTATATGTTTATATAAAATAGATGGAACTTCTACTATTGCAGTTACTGTTTTATTTTTTTCATTTGTAAATACATGATTTACTTTGCATTTTTCTTCGTATTGACTAAAATTTCTTGCATTAATATCAGTTTCTATATCTTTTACATTTGTTGTGAAAGCTTTAGAAATTCCTACTACTTTAATTATCGGTTTACGTATTTCTTCTTTTAGAACAGTAAGTGCCAGTAGTTTTTTTTGTAAAGTTTTTTCTAATACTGTGACATTTTCTTCGGTCATGCAGTTGACAATTATTGTGTCAGTATTTTTAACTTGTACACTTTTTGTTTGTATGTTTTTGTCTTTAATTAAGTAATGTGCTACTTCATTTTCTAAGTTTATGTTATCATTACTCTTTTTCTTTATTATTAATCTTGGTATTCTTTTGGGTTTAGGTTTTGGTAGTGCAATTGTTTCAGCATATGTTTTTCTCATAATGTTAGTATTTGCATTTTTATTTTGTTTTTCTTTAATTAGTAGTTCATTGAGCAATTCATTTTTTTCTTTTGTTTCTTTGTACAGTTCTTTCAATAGGTTATTTTCGGCTTTTAATTGTTGTAATGCATCCAAATCACTGATCTGTGTTACGTCCATATTATCATCGTTTTCATTTAAAATTTGCTTTTCATGCACAAGCTCATTTAATATTTCCTGTTTTAATTGTTCTCTACTTACAAGTTTGAATTGTGTTATAAAAGCACTAGCTTGTTCACTTAAGTCCCTATATGGCAAGTTTGATGTTAGTGCAAAATTTGGATGCTCCTGGCATATTATGAATGAGCTGTTTATTAGTTTGATTGCATTTCCTGCATTGATTTTTGCTACTATTTCACTCGTATGATAGAAATTACCACATACTAAACACACAACTACTCCAACTTTTATATTTGGATGACACTTGAAATGCTTATGTAGCGATGATGCGTCAGGCGGTTGCACCTCCGCACCGCTCGACGGCGACATCGCGACTCAAAATAAGCATTGAAAAGGTTGATGAGCAAACTATTGGTGAAGCAGCAATAGGCAGTGATTGTAACCTACATGGTCGAGTTATCTCGCAGCAGGAATCGGTTTAAGAATTTGATCGTATTCAAGAATCTGTTCGTGAAGTTTATGGAACTTAAATCTCTCACTTCGATAACGGAGAAGACTTTGGCGCAGACTCGCGAAGAGTTTATTTTTTTCTATGGGAGGTGCCAAACTACCTTGCCAGTGATAATGGCAAGAAATATTGCCGGGCAGATTTTGCAAACGTTTTAGTCATAAATGGGATTGAGCATGTGCTTGCCTCACCAAACCATTAACAAGCCGAGTTCATCTGCAGTAGATGTACGGCCGTATTTAAATTCATTTATTCAATTGTAAATAGTTACAAACACAGGGGCAGATACACCATGAACGGTATGTAACAACTGCATCTAGCGACAGAGAAATTTTCAATCAGTGAGGCTTTTTCTTCTCGCGCGTGCAAGATCAACGAGCAACTTTGCCGCTTCTCTACAATTAAGGGCTTGGTTAGTGTAGTATGGGGAGTAACAGCATCGTTGCAATGGTGTAGCATAGCGAATTTTTCAACTCACTTAGTGGTTACTATACCGACGCGTCGCCATTTTGTACACGTGCGGTATTTGTAAAAGATGTGTTTAATAAACCGATCAATTTGTGATGTGCGCGGTGATTCTTTGCGTTATCTCCACCTGACAACTTAAATTATGCAGACGAAATTTATTATACTTTTTTACATCGAATAAAATTGTAAAAAATTTCCGAGATTGAAATTCAAAAAACAATAAATTAGCATTTTCACGAAAAATTGGCATTGACAAAAATTATGGAAAAATATGATACAAACAGTAATTTTAGTACTAAAATATACTTATTGACAATATTGAATACAAAGTATATACTTGTAGTAGATGTCAAAAACATTGGCTTCGTTTGTCATTTTATCTATGAGAGAGTTCCAATCCTTTGGTAACAATGAAGGCATCTGAAATGTTTGTCGTGCACTGTATGACTTGTACCAATTAGGATAATCATATAGGTTGGCTTCCTTGAGATTCATTATCCATGTTTCATGATCTATAACCAACTGCAGAAAGAGTAATGTAGTCAGTTTTCCTTAAGAAAGTGTAACAAAAGAATATACAGATAAATGCATGTATTTCCATTAAATATTCAAAGTATTTACATAAATAAGGGTTTCATTTAAAGTTTAATTAAAACAATCTTAATTTTTTTGTAAGTATTGTGGCAGGGAATTTCGGGGGTGTTGACCGCGCTCCGAGTTCTTCCGCCACAAGGCCTGTTTGGCTCTACCCCCGATTATTTAGGGCGCCAGACCGTCGGCTGATTACGGCGATCGTCGGGGGTAAGGCCAGTAGGGTTACGCGTATCCCGGTCTGCCTAACGGCGACTGCGCAGAGTGGGCAGATGGGGGGAATACGCGTGGTATCCTAACTTCAGGCCTTTGGTGTCCAACTCTCCTTCGATTTTTCCTTGACTAGGGTACGCCGGCAGCTCAGATGATGACTCCTTAAGTCAGGTCGTGAGGACGTTCGAAATCGCGCGTATTTTACCTAACGAATAATCCGAAAATATAGCGAATTCATGAAACCCGTATGTAACCGCTCGCGGCTGAAAATCGCTAGCATGCAACAGGGGTAGGTTATCCAGTAAATTTTATATATAAATATAAAGATAATTAATCGTTTTATTGATGCATTAAAAATTTCTCACATACGAGGTCGGAATAAATATGGTCGGTAAAATTCTGAATTTTCATTAATCCTTAAAGTACAATTTAATCGGAACATTAGCGGAAGGTCAGCGCGAATACCAAGTCGCAATTTTCTCTCGTGAAACGGAACTTAATAAACGTTGACGAAAGGTCAGCGCGAATACTAAGTCGCAATTTCCTTTTTGTAAGACCTAACGTTCAAATTCGGTTTGCGAAATGGCGGAAAGGTCAGCGCGAATAATAAATCGCAATTTTCTTTTATAAGATCTAACGTTCAAATTCGGTTTGCGAAATGGCGGAAAGGTCAGCGCGAATAATTAGTCAAAACAATTTAATTCAATTGAACCTACGTTTGTACTAAATAACTAACGAAAGGTCAGCGCGAATACTAAATTGCAATTTTCTTTTGTAAGACGAACACTTAATAGAAGTTGGCGAAAGGTCAGCGCGAATACTAAGTCGCAATTTTCTCTCGTAACCGAACACTTAATAGAAGTTGACGAAAGGTCAGCGCGAATACTAAGTCGCGATTTTCTCTCGTAACCGAACACTCAATTTATTTTCACGGAATGGCGGACAGGTCAGCACGATCCGGTAGGCACCGGCGTCGACGGATCCACGCGTCGCGACGACCTACAGCACCGAACTAAATAATTTAACTAATCTAACCCGCACTCCGCGAATAAATAATATGAGTGGCACTTTGCCTACTTACAATTTTCTCCTTGCGGTATTAGCAAACAAATTGGCAAGATATCTAAGGCGTCTAGCGCTAATGATCTGGTAGCGATTAGCTGTTAGCTCCTTCCTTGCGGATATCCAGTGGCAAAATGGACGAGAATCGGCTTCTCGCGGTCAAAGATCGTTTCTCTTCTCCTCTTTCCGAGAAGAAATGTTATTCTTGGTCGGTATGCTAATTCGGATATCGGTAGCGCCCTCCGAATTTTTATCATTGGTCCGTATGTAAATTAGAATAATACAGCGCCCTCCTTAACTCTCCTACTTTCGTCGTTATTTACTCTCTCTCTCACCCCCCACTAAGGTATCTATCATTAATTGTCGGAAAGGATCTACCCCTACTCTTATCTATTCGTCTATGCGGACGGAAATCAAATTTTATTCTAATTTGCCTATTGGTCGTGACGTCACTAGCGAATTTTGTCAGATGTTCGAATTCGGTTAGTTAAATTATTATTTAAACCTAAAGGGGGTAGTTGTCGCTCGCCATCATAATAGGGGTGTCGGTCGCGTGCGAATTTTACAATTCGATATTTGTTTCGTGTTCATTCTTTTCCAATTTAATATTTTAATTTATTATAGGAGATACGTATATAATATACGCCGTTTTATTCGTAGCGCCCTCATCTTCGCATTTACATATTATTCTATCTATTATTTTAAATAGTCTGTCTCGCTCGCTCTTGTTTCGTCTATTTCGCTCGCTCTGTCTCGCTCGCTCTGTCTCAGTCTGTCTCGCTCGCTCGCTCTCAAACTATATCGGCGCTTCAAGATGGCCGCTCAGTTTCTCGCGCGTACGTCTCGTGTCCTTGTGCCGGTTGTTGGAGCGCCTCCTGGGGCGCTCCCGTGTTGGTTCTGTGGTTTTTTTCCGGGTATTTGTGTGTGTGGTCGCTGATTTTCGTGTGTGTGGCGCTCAGGATGTCGCTGATGGTGTTCGGCAGCCCGACACAGCTGATTGCTGGCTGCCACTTCATCGGCGATTTTCTGCTCGCCCCAGGAGTGTCAGTGCCTCGTGAGTGTTCGTGTTGATGTCTGGGAGTGTAACGGATCTGCATGTGTCATCAACATGCATCTCCGTTGCATTTCCCAGTCAGGTTTTGCATTTTTCTTTGCCAGCCGGCAACACGTGGTCGGGAGTGTATGTGTGTGAGTGTGTGCGTGCGCTCTCTTTTTCTGTGGTGCGCTCCTTTTTTTTTGTCTGCTCTTTGAGCGTCCGTCGGATCGCGTTGGGCAAGTTTGTTTCGCCCATATCTCCGGCGTGGTAGTTCGGACATGGAAAATAATAATTGTTCAGTATAGGGCGTGTTTAGCTTTATTTTAAACAACCGGTTACGGGGCAGCAAGGGACGGGGATGGCCTTTCTGAGGTGTTGCAAATAATGCAGCACTCAGGAGAGGCTTTGTAATGTGCCACATTACAGTATATATTTATATAAAATAATCAAACAAGAAAAAACTTTTTATAGACCACATCGAACACTTAAAAATAGTTCTTGACCGGTTACACGTAGCAAACTTCTGCATGAACCAGAACAAATATAATTTCTGTGTAAGCTTTGAACTACTTATGCCACATCATCGACAAAATGGTATTCACACTGACCTAGATAAAATACGAGCAATCACTGACCTAGTACCATCTATTCGAAAAAAGAACTATTCAAATTCCTAGGGACTATATAATGGTACCGTCGATTCATTCCAAATGCAGCAACCCTAACGATTCTTCTCAATAGTCACATGTCTCACTTAGTTTGTCAGTGTACCGCTATGTGGCGCGTTTACCACGTACAAGAAACAAATAACTAGACTTCTTAATATACTCGGCCCACGAATAGCCCCGGGTATTTCTGTCTCTGGACAATCTCCTATACAATGGAACGAGATCGTCTAAGCCGGTGATACGGCGTTTCGTATATTCATCTATTTTTTGTTATTTTTGTGAGATTATGGAGATCGATAATCTCTTCCCTTGGGTACGACAATTCTGTGTTCCTTGGACATCAAATTCTCTCTATATATTTTCCTTCCGTGAACACTGTTTCCTCCTTACGTGAAGAGTGGAGGGTTAACGATGGCTAGCGGGCACATGTCCTTACCGACGGTCGACAGCAATATTCAACTCTCGACCTTATTGTGAGCTCGTAGTTATGCGTATACTTTTTTTATTATTATTGTCTTGTGACATTTATTGCAGAATTGTAGCCGAGTCTTTTACTGACGACCAGTAGTAGCATATAAGCTTTTTCTTTTGTAAATATATATGATATATTTGTTTATTCAACCTCAATTAAAAGTTCTAGTCATTTATAAAACCCTAATCATCTAACGGAAAAGTAAAATGACATGATGACATGATGTCCAAGTGTCTCACGGCTGTGGAGATTATTCCGCATGTGGAGATACCTACTAATAAATGTAAATATTTAGTATATCGCTCATTGTATTTTATCCACTACTCTTTTTAAGAAAATAGTAATAAGATAAAAGAAATATTATAATTCTATAATTTTATAAAAAAGTAATCTCGCTTGTGTATGAGTTATCCGTTCCCGTTGGATAGTTCTTGTTTGCGCTCGGGCCGAAGATGCGAAAATTATTATGTAAATTATAGATCCCGATTAAACAGTTGTTGATGCAGTGAATGAAATCAAAATCACCACTGCTGTATTTTGTAATCATGTACCTTATATGAAGTTAAGAAATGGAACTAAAATATTTTGTATAAAAAATATTCCAAAAAAATTTTAATTATTTTTTGTAAAATTTGTCCAATAAAAGAGAGACAATCCAAAATAGATTTTCGCAATAATGGTACGACGTTCCACAGCATTGATGCTGAATCATGATCCATGTTAAACAAGGCATTAGAATTCTAAATATAGACCTTATCTACCTTTGCTAATGAACGTATTTTATATGATCGTTTACTCCTAACAACACCCCATACTAAGGAGATCTATGGAATAAGTTTCCAAATTAAACAAGTACGTACTGAAGAAAATGCGCTTGTTCGCGGAAATGTCAACTAACCTGACCGAGATTGAGGCTTGCCTCAACTTACGGCCACTATGTCCGTTAAAATCGGATCTAGATGACTTGTAAGCTCTTACATCGTCGCTTCTTCTTATCTGTACTGTTCCGTGTTTTTCTTCAGGAAGTTACACCTGCTCTTAGAGAATTACATACAGTATTTTCAACTTCTCCGATGCATACGTGATGAATTTTGGAAAAGTAGGTAAACCGAGTTCATATCATAAATCCAAGAAAGAACTAAATCGAAACGAAAGAGGAATTCGAGTAACAACTTTGATACCGGTCAACTTGTCGTCCTGAAAGTTAAACGTTGTCTTGCTACTAACAAGGAAACTATCCCAGATGTACCTTACCGATTTTCTTCATTTTTGATATGTTGTAGTACATTGAAAAATATTTCATTCATGCTTTTTCGTTCGTGCTAGTTTTACGATTTAAGAAATGAATGCCAGCTCTATAATTCGACCCCAAAAACTGTTTTTTTTTACGATTCGCGGAAACTATTTTGAATTTCTTGGTGATACAAAGTATATATTACTTGTTATTCTAAAAAAAAGTATTTATGTATTATTTTTACCA